TTTTGAGTATTTAAGTATACATTAAATATCACTTTTGGGGGAAAAATTGATTTTTCCCGTGGGCATCACACCAGACATGACACGTCACTCTATCAACCAAAGTCGCTCAAAATCTAATGGTTTCTATTCCTCGGCACCCCCAATCTTCCTGTGAAGTCAGATTTTGAATCACTTTTCTTGGTTGAAAGTTATCGTGTTAAAAAAAATTTGCGTACAGCGTACAGGGTACCACGCACATACATTCGGACATTGAAAAAACGTTAGATTCGTGTTCTCTGGCTCAAGAAAAACCGAGAAAACACATTTTTCGACCGATTCCAATACTTTACCTTACATTACCTTACACATTAGGTGTGTGCGGAAAAGTAAAAGAGCCAAACCAATCATGTATTAATTCAAATATTGATCGCAATAGCTCAAAAAATAAAATTATAATTAGGTTATCAGAAAATAAGATAAAAACACTTGCTTATCGTCCAGAGTGTAGTTGTTTTTCGAATTTAAAACAACTGTTATTCATCATCTGAACTTACGTCAAACATATCAAATTCTCATTGTGAAAAACAATTCTATATGAAGTTAAAATTTTCCTATAAAAAGGGCCACGTATATACTCTTCGAACATCAGTTACTTTTTTATTGAACCTGAACGTGGAATATTTCCCTCGACTAAAAAAATGAAGCTGTTTTTATATGTGGCATTATCATTCCTTGCAATGATTATCCAGGTAATATAAATTGTGAAAAAAATAGATATATTTTAAACAAATTTCTGAATAAATTTTCAAAAGCTGATGGTCTTCTTCCATCCAGGTTAAATCAGACAATTATAAAAATCTGTTGGCGTATTATTCACTGATAGATAAATTTGACGAGAAAGCCAAAGCAATTGATACTTCGATTAACTGGAAAGATAAATTACAAGAAGTTCTTTCAATCCCAACTGAAGAAATTATGAACAATTTTAAGAAAACCAATCCTCAGTGGGTGGAACAATTGGCCAGTGCATTCATAAGTATTCCACCTGGTCAAAGCAGTACATCAACTAAATCAGTGAATAAACAAATTAAGTCACTTAATGAAAATCATAAAAAACTTTGCAACACTGTGTATTCGATGGTAATGAGTACAATGGAACCATCATTTAAACAAATCTCTGGCTTCGAAAGTGCATATACAAAAGTAACAACAAAAAATTTCGATAATTTTTTTTTGGATAAAGTAAAAGCAAAATTACCAACTTTTAAAACAACACATGATCAGTTATTGGCAAAAATAAACACCAATATAAATGGAGTTTTTGTTCGATTGAGAGACGACTACGTAAACAAATTGAATTCATTAAATGAACATACAAGCTCACTTCCTAATGTACTGACCGAAATAAAAGCAGCACAAGACAAATTTTCAGTTGCGGTCAGCAAATTATCGCAAGATTTAAAGGCATTTGCCGATGGAGCTATTAAGTGTGCAGAATTTTTACTAGATGCGAAAAATCTAAAGTTCAAATCAAATAATAATCTCTCAGGCAATGAACTAAAGCAATTAGAAAAAAAATATGAGGAATTGTTTGGAGAATTTCAGTCTCTGTTAAAGAAAGACTAAGTTAAAGTGATTGGATATCACTGTTTTTCCCTCTCTATAATTACACACATTTTATTATGTAAAATCAGATGTACTTGAATTTGATCGTAATAAAAAAAAAATTGAGGAAAATAATTCATCTTTTTGTTTGAATTAAAATTTTAATAATTCAGTTGAATATTTTTTCACAAGGGTCTCAATTCGCATGTCAAAATAGCCAAAAGGTTGCCGCTCACCACATTCCAAGAACTTTAGCTATCTCAAACCCACTTCAATAAATAAATATCCAATGTGTATATTTACATGATAAATGTAAATTCATTACGATATTATTTATCTATAAATTTTGTTGAATGTCGCCTAATGAATGGCCACGTCGTTTGCGATGGTATTCAATTCCTTCCATATTTTATACAATACTAAACAAATTTAAACACAATTCTAGCCTTTAAGCCAATTTACATGTAAATAAATGGCAATGTAATTGTGAACAAATATTGTCATACCGCTTTCATTGTGCGGGTAAAATGAATGAACGACCGCAATACATCATCCGTAGTAGATGTCCCGAAGCATATCTCGTCAATGCAAAAGAAATGCATTCGAGAGAAAAAAAAACGATGAGCAACACATTGAAGTTGAAACGTTTAACCAGTGAGATTCGAGTCGTTCGTTCTTTTTTGCATTTTCTTCCTCACAATAGGCAGTTCCGCTAGAAAACTCTCACCTCATCATCGTCAATCATGCCCGATAAACGAATGTCTTTCATGTCATTTGTTATGTGATCGATTTGATTGTTGAGTTCGTGACTTCTCAATTAGCGATTGATTCGTTTGAACGAGAGCAGTAATCAATTATTCGTGTGGAATTCATGTCTACAAATCATTTTCCAATACAATTTGGTTTGTTGTTGTGATTTTTGTGTGAATCGTTCAATGATTTCTTATGCTTGCTTTTTGGTATTTATTGACGTCCGACTTGGTTAAATATCGAAACGTTTTTGCGATATGTGGAAAAAAAGTTTCCGTTCGAAATGATTACGCTAATTAGCTGCAGCGGCCACGTTTGGAAGATAGAAAGTGGAATCATTCCGTATTGTTAGCAACAATGGATGAGTTGCGGTTAACGATACCCTCTAATTTTTGGTGAATACAATGCCCAACATATTACAATCTATCACGCTGATTGTATACAAACCAATACCTTACAAATATTGATACATTGAATATAGCAATCGTCAGTGGCACACCGCGTGCACGATTCTATTTCCTTTGCATACATTGTTGAGATCATTGATTCGGTGAAACTATTTTGATTCATAATTACACTACCGATGATGCAGATCGAATCGGCGGCAAATCGAAAATAACACACTCAAGATTGAATAAAACAGATACAATATTGTACAGTAATGCAATTTTTTCAATGATTCGATGATGCAATTCGACTTTTACCAGCTATCTGATTGCCGGAATTATTCAATCTCCCTACGCTATGAAAAGTAACACTTTCAAAAGATACAGAAATAGAGTTGGTGTTTTTTAAAATAAAACTTCTATTCAATCAGCATAGGAAACATTCGATATAATCAAATCAAATGCTGTACATTACAGGGTAATCATTGTCAGTACAATTCAGATGTTGTTTGGTACGTAACCTCATTGGAACTCTTTTTTTAAATTTAATATCGGATGTTCGAATCTATTATTATGTCATGAATTCAATTCGAGTCGCAAAAGAGTCACATTTAAACATAAGCGTCATCGTGTATTCTGTTTAATGTTTATTGAAAAATATCACATGCACTTTTAGCAAACATACTTACGTTTTTTTTTTTCATTTATTTGCGTCAGTTAAATTTTTGACATTTAAAAAAGTGTTGATTTTTTGCAAAACCTGTAACGTAAGACACGAGGTGTTATTATAATTTATTGGTGATTATGACGATAAAAAAACTGATAAGCTCTTTGACGGGTTATTATTTGAAACGTTTTTTCTCTGGTTGTTTTTAACAAATCGCATCGATTAACACGCAATTAATTCCTGCGGATCTTTAAACAGAAAGTAAAAAATGTAAACCAAGCTATCGATGCATTAAAGTCATTTATTTCATGTAATAATAGAGTATGCTTTGTTAATTGTTATATGTATTCAATGTTTATAAGTTTGGTTTCTTGTTTCGCACTTTACAAGTGTGTAATATCTTAATAGCTTTCCTGCCAAACATGCTTTGCGATCCATTCAGTATAAAATGCGACTCTTGTGTAAATGGCTGGCAGTGAAGTTCCACAACTAATGCCTAAAATTGAGAAACAAGTGATATTTGACGTTGTAAAGATTCCTTGTTTCAAAAAAAAATTCAACTTGTATGTGAAATTTTACCAAAGGACACCACACCGACGACATGTGGAATGCTGGATGTGCCACGGTACACCTGAAGCGGTCCTCCACTGTCTCCTTGACAACTATCGTTTCTTGCACTCGGATCGAATGCACAATATTGACTTTCACTAATGCCGTTTCGTAGAGTTGAAATGTTTGGCAATCGATTCCAATCCAAAAGTGTTTTATTGCATTCGGGTAACACCAACGTTGAAACTTGCGTCTTTAAAAGTTCATTTGATAATTCCTTTTCTTCATTTATTACGCCCCAACCGGTCACAAGCAGCGGTACATCCGTACTCTCGTCACGTGTATCATTATGTAAGCAAGCTGGCTGAATATCGAATGTGAATTCAATTTGATTGGTTAAACGAAGTAAAGCAATATCATTCTTTTCAAATAAAAATGAGTACTGTGGATGTCGAATGATTTTCTAACGAAAAAAGGATAAAAAGCGTTTAATTTTGGATGTCAATGAAATATTGTGCATCTTTAAAAACCTCGATTTGATGGTTTATTGCGTCTGGGGTACTCAGTGCTAACTAAAAACGAAAAGGAAGACAGAATTTGAATTGTGTTTAATACTGTGTATACGTTCTTATATACTTCTCCTAGACGAACAACGACGGGTTGACGCGTTGTTTTCAAACAATGTGCTGCTGTTAGTACGAACCGCTCCGAAATTACTGTTCCGCCGCATTCAAAACGAATGGTCGAATCCTTAAGGAGATAGCCCAGTGCAGCCTTTTAGATAAAAAACATGATTAAATCAAAAATATTTTGCGGTAATTTTTAATTTTATACCATCCAAGGAAATTCTCCACCTGTCGCCGATTCTCCACCGAAAATGCGACGAGCCGGAAACTTCGAATAGGTACGACATGCTTTTTGCCAAATACCGAGAAATTTTTACTGCATGAAAAAAAAAATCTAGATTTATTCAATTCAAATTACCTTTTCGTATTTTCACAATATTATTTGCTGCTGCACGAAGCAATTCAACAATGTTTGGGTAACCTTCGCGTTCGGCTATATTATGGGCTTTGAGTCGTTTATTATTTCGAATATGAATATCAGCACCATTTTCAAGTAAAATGTTCAAAATTTCTTCATAGCCTGTGGTGACGTTCAAAAAAGTCACGTTTCAAAATATGGAAAAAGGAAATAGTTTTTTTTTTCTTGTTTTATAATCACCTCTGAATGCAGCTTTCATCAAAGCTGAATTTCCTTCATTTGATTGTGAGTTTATTTCAGCACCTATTTCCAATTTTATTTACAAATAGTTAGATACCTACCTTGTATTTAACTCAGGAATTGTTCCTCTGAGGAGGTGCGGAACAATCCCTAATTTGACTACACTAATCTACCAGCTCACCGGATTGGTCAAGGTGGTAATTTAAAGGCAAAGCTTCGACTGAATAGTATTCAGTGAATACACCCGACCTGAATCGATACCAAAACAAGACTAAACTAATCTCACCATTCTTAGAGAGTAGATCCACAACTTTGGCAAACCCGTATTCAACAGCAGTTATAAGTGGTGTGTTACCTAGGGGGTAGACACAAATTTTTACTATACAAAACTAAAAGTATACTAGAATCGACTAGAAGCTATACTGAAAGAATATTTGTGTTACCGAGTATATTTCGACTATTAACGTCAGAACCTTTCTCTATGAACAATTTAGCGATGTTTTCATTACCTACGATCCGAGAAGAAATTATAATGAACGTTACAATTGAAATGATAACACAAGTGTCGGTGAATCTTATGAATTAAAGCGTTATCAATTGACAAACCCGCTGTGACTGCCACATGGAAACTTGACATTTGATCTTTATTGAATATATGTACATCAGCATTCGAATTCAACAGAGCTTCGACGATACTTTCATGGCCTACAATTAATGAACATCACATTCGATCAATTATTTATTCGCTGAACAATCAAATTCACGTCATCAATATTCACAACATTAACTTCACCTTGATGTGCTGCGACATGTAACGCTGTGCAGACAAAAATGATATAATGGTTTTTTTTTTATAGTAAATTTTTCAAAAAAATAATTTTATACCTGTGTCCAGCAGACTATTTTTTGCATTTAGCTCTGCACCTTTTTCCATCAAATAGAGGGTAATATTTTTAAAGCCTACCATTTCAACATTTTCAAAAATTATAAAAAACTGTTAGTTGGTAACTTTGAAGGGCTTTGAAACTAAAAGAATTTTATTACCATAAGTACTTGACGTGATGAGTGGCGTATTCTGTATGAAATTTCGGCTGTTAATATCAGCTCCACGTTCAATTAACATTCTCACTATTTGTTCGTTACCTATGTAGTACCGAATAGTACACAGAATTATTTGTATAAAACTAACAGTACTTTGCGAAACTGTTTTGGTACGATAAAATTAAATCACCTTTTTGTGTAGCGTAGTGTAATGCATTGTTACCTATATTAAAAGATTTTAAATAAAACAAAAGATTTTAAATAAAGTGCATCATTATTACCCTCAAGGTTTTTGGCATCAATATCAGTACTTGATTCATTTAATAATGATTGAACGATTTTTTCATAACCTGAAAAGCATAAACCCTTTGAATAAAATTGATTTTTTTTAGTCGCAATTTATTAAATATTGCCTCCATAACAAGCTACGATTAAAGCCGAGTTCCCATCATTATTGGCTATATTCACATCTGCACCTCTGTCAATTAAAATGCGCACCACCTCATCAAAACCTTTGTAAAAATTAGTTTTCATAAAATTATTGTTATCGACCAAATAATTGTGTTATATTAAAATCGGAAATAGGAATATGGAAGTTTCACAGCTAACCATTAAATGCTGCTAACTGAATTGCAGTCGAGTTTATGTGATTCTTTTCATTAATTTTAGCTCCTAATTCGATCAGTGTTCGTACAGTCGATGGATGACCTAAAAAAATAAAAACAATTTAAAAAAAATTGTGACTTTATTATATGTTCACTGAATGTATACCTCTATCCTTGTAGATAGCAAGATGGAGCGGTGTGCTTTTTTCATGGTTTTTGTGATTTATGTCAGCTCCTTTTTGAACTAACATTCGAACTATCTGATCATGACCTTTTGGAATAAAAATGGTAATAAATGTTCAATGATTCATTACGTTCTTAAATTACTGAACAATATTCTTTTGAATATTTTTTAAAAACACTGTTTCAATGTACCATCAGAGCTAAACTTTTTGATTTAAAAAATAAAATTTTCAAATTAGATTTCAATATTTACCATGGAATGCTGCATAGCTGCATGGAGTGAAGAGAATATAATCATTTTGGTCAAAAGCTGCACCGTTTTGAAGAAGTAATTCGGCAACTTTGTAATGCCCACCAATTGCTGCAAAATGTAATCCTTGTAATGTAAAATAAAAATAAATTAATAAAAAAAATAATTTATTTATTAATAATTTAAATAATTCAATTAATTTACCGTTTCTTTGTTTATTATTTGTGGCATTGATATCGGTGCCGATTTCATCGATTAGATATTTCAGAAATGTATCGTGTCCTAAAAAAACAGTTTTGATTTTCTAAAAAGAAATGACCTTTCAAAAAACTCACCTTTGCTTGCTAAAATGTGAACTAAACCATCGCCATCTATATTTTTAATGTTAGTATTAGCCCCATTTCGAACTAAATCATGTAGAACGTGATCGTTGACTAAATAAAAAACAAATCGAAATTAAATTCACCGATTAAACTCTATAAAACTTCCAAACGAACCCTCTAATGCTGCAGTTAAAATCGGTGTGTTGTTAAATCGGTCGGTTACATTCAAATCTGCACCTTTTTCAATAAGTAGGCTCACAATATCATTTAAACCTGGCGAATAGGAAAATTCAAATAAAAAAGTCGGCCGAATTACGGCTATTTTGTTTTCATTCAAACAAACAGATACAATATAACAATTATTCTTACCATTTTCGATAGCCACATGAATTGGCGCTCTTCCGTTCTCATCTTTTTCATTAACGTCAATTCCACTTTCAATGATGATTCTAGCGGCTGTCTGATTTTCTGAATGAAGTGAAATCGAATTAAGTTTTATCATAGTTAAGTTAATCCATTAAAAAATTGAGTATTCTCATACAAAATTATCTACACTTACTATCATGTATTGCATCAAATAAGGACGGTGTTTCACTTTGATTTGATCTTGATGAACAACATAAATTATATTTTTTTTTCTCTAAATTGATTATTTAAACTGGCATTAATGTTTCGCTGATAATATACTTACAATTTGTTTTTATGAGCTGAAAATCAAATTATAATACAATTACAAAGCCGATTAAATAGAAAAGTGTTCATGATGGTGAAAAAAGTTCATAACAGATATTAAACTAAGTTACACACAGATTACTTGCACTTGCACAAAATTCATTCAATCAATCTTTTTGTAACATTTACTTTACGCGACATACATTTCATATTTACTAATTGGAAAAATTCTTCTATGCAGACGAAAATTACCTTTGTGTTTATTCATTTCTGCAGCTTGAAGCAAAACAACAATCTTTGGATATCCTTTGGATTCTGCCCATTCCCAAGCTTGGCGTCGTTCGTTATTTTTGATATGAATATCTGCACCATTATCGAGTAAAATTTTTACGATTTTTTCATTGCCTGTGGTGACGATCAAAATAAAAATGGAAATTTTTGTGCAAATTCAATAGATGAGCCGAGTTCAAGTTTTTTAACCTTTGGCAGCAGCATATATCAAAGCTGAATTCCCTTCATTTGATTTTGCATCTAGATCGGCACCTAGCTCAACTAAAACTTCCACCACTTTGTCGTGTCCGTAAAATGTAGCCACCATGAGCGGTGTGTTTCGATCCTTATTTAGACTATTAATGTCAGCCTTACCTTTCTCAATCAATATTCGAACAACTTTTTCATAACCTACGGTTTGGGACAATCGAATTATAATGAACTTAACTCAGAGAAATGGAAAAGTTTTGTAACACGAGTGAATCTGTATTAATTTTTCTGTAAGCGTTATTCCAAAGCGTTATTCGATGTTAGACAATATAAACTTGCACTAATATCTTGAACATATGTTTTATCAACCTTCAGCCAAGAAAGAACATTTCTCTCGCTGATTTTGTGGAGCTAAGAACTCAAAACGTCACGTTTTGTGTGACTTAAAAATATTTCTTACCAACAATTGCGGCGCCTAGTAACGCTGTGATATTCTGAGTAGTTTTTAGATGTACATCAGCGCCCAATTTTAATAAATGTTCGACCATTTTCTCATTGCCTAAAATGTAACTTACGGTTAAAAAACGGCTAAAACTTGCTTGGATGGATATATTCAATATCCATGCATTCAATGAAATTCAAATACTCAAAAATTTACTCACCAACATAGGAAGCTTGCATCAATGGTGTGTTTCCATCATGATCTTGGCTATCAATATCAGTTCCGTTTTCAATTAAAAGCGTAACGATTTTTTCGAAGCCTAAATAGTGAAAAAAACAATTTTATTTAAATACAATGCAAGACATAATGGCTTTGACTTTAAGGTATATAAAACCGAATGCATGGCTCAAGCTGATTGGAGTCGATTGCAATGCATATAGCCATATACCACATATATCATTACGATACAGTGTCGAATAGCTTGCTCTGACAATATATTCTACCAGTGATGAGCACATTAGCTGGCTAATTTGCCATCACTGTGTACACCGGCTAACGAATGCGTAAGCCAGCACTAACACACGTCAGGAGAATTGGACGTTTTCACACGCATACTATCATACACAGTCACACAGTTAGCTGGCTAACGATTGGTGTACACCAAATGTTGGTATACACCGAGGCTAAGACAACGCTGGCTAACGCAAAACCATCACTGTATTCTACATACCATTTTTAGCGCTTTTATGGATAGATTGTCTTCCCAGATTGTCTTCACTATGAATGTCTGCTCCATTTTTGATCAATATTTGTGTAACATTATATTGGCCTAAATGAAAAAGAAAAATAAAAACAATCAAATAAAATCGAACCATTATCTTTGAAAATATTCTTGGATGTTGTTGACCTGCAGCCGAAGCTAATGCAATGGTACTCTCTCCATCATAGTTTTTACTATTGATATCAGCACCTCTCATCAACAAAAGCTGAACAACACTCTCACGACCTAATGTAAAAAAAAATCAGGAAAAATTGAATCAGTAGCAAAGTAATATTTCAAAGGCAATGTATTGACAGTGATAAAACTGAAATGTGAGAATAGTGAAAAGTCTTTAATGTTTGCACCTGCAGATGATGCCAAGTGAAGTGGATCTAAATGAAAAAGAAAAACAAACACAATTGAATAAAATCGAGCCATTATCTTTGAACATATTTTTCAATGTTGTTGACCTGCAGCAGAAGCTAATACAGACCGTTTCCCGCACTGTTTTTGCTGTTAATGTCAGCCCCTTTCTCTAATAAAATCGACACCACATTTGCATGCCCTTCATGGGAAAAATATCGAAAACAAATGTATTACTTGTAATCAAAGCAAAACCAGTAATCATTTTAGGAAAATTATGCAACTAACCATTAAATGCCGCCAATAGCATTGGCGTTTCTTCTTCGTTATTTTTTTCATCAACTTTGGCACCAGACTCTATCAACAACTGAACCAATGTGTCATGGCCTAAATATTGATGAAAATAATTGCATAAAATTGAGCGTTTATTTTTTCAAATACTCATAAATTTTCTCACCATTTTGACTTGCGAAGTGAAGAGGACTATTGAGATCTTTATCTTTGCTGTTGATATCAGCACCTTTCATCAATAAAAGCTGAGCTATTTCATAATAACCTAATTTGAAAAATGGGCAAATAAAAGTCACACTTTAAAAAAATCTATGGTTTCAACACAATCGACATTTTTATGGTGGATTACCAAGCTGAGCTGCAGAATGAAGCGCTGAACTTGACATCTCATTTTCCTGGTTAATATTTTCCCCCTTTTCAAGCAGCAACGACACTGTTTTATAATTACCTAAAAGAATGAGACAGGGATGTATCGATGAAATCAATCATTCAATACAAAAGATTACCACCAATAACAGCTAGTTTAAGGGGATTGCTTTCATCTTCGTTGATTGCACTGAGATTGGCGCCGATTCCTTCAATTAGATACTTCAGAAATGAATCATAACCTGAAGTAGAACCATTTGATTCGATAAGACTTGAAATAAACGAATTACGATTTCAATTTGACAGGCCTACCTTTGTATGCACTTATGTGTACTAATGAATTTCCAAAAATGTTTTGTTTATTAATATCGGCGCCCGATCTAAGTAATTGAAGCACAATACCATCGTTAACTAAATGAAAAAAAAAACCTAAATCAGTTTCATGTATTGAGTTTTGCGAAAATTACGGAACAAACATTCTATGGCTGCTATTAAAATCGGTGTGTTTCCTTCTTTATCGATGATGTTCACATCTGCACCTCTGTCAATTAGCAAGCTTGCAATATCATTTAAATCTAATAAAAGAGAATCAATGAAAGTGTCGTAAAACCAATCAAATTATCTAAGAAAATGAATAGAAGATCCAACAGTGTTTATGCATTAATTCAGAATGAAGTATTTTCATCCAAATTGGCCTCTAGAAATAAAAAAAAATGTTCAAAATTTAATTAGTCGTACGCTTTTCAATCGCCACATGAATTGGCGCTCTTCCATTTTCATCTTTTTGATTAACGTCAATTCCACTTTCAATGATGATTCTAGCGGCTGTACGATTTTCTGAACGCAAGAATATCGAAAGAATAATTTAATGACAAGGTGTAATGAAATTATAAAATATCTATGTACTTACTATTACGTATTGCATCAAATAATGCTGTGCTGTCACTTTGTTTTGATCTTGACAAACGACATAAAATACACAATTTTTACACCCGATTATTCGAAAAACAAAACTTTTTAGATTAAATACTTACAATGCATATGTTTTATTATCTGAAAATTGATAAAGGTATTACAGTTTTAATGCAATTCTTTTGGAAACTTGAATATCAAGCAAGCATTGAATTGTTTGAGCATTTGACTGAAGAAGAAAATGTCCAAAATGACTCCAATAAATCAAAGTTGCTCAGGAGTTTTTCAAGCTGAAAACTCTCTATTTTTTTTCGTGTCCTCTTCAATTATTGTAGAGTTCTCCATAATTTCAGTTCTAATTAGAACTATATTCAACGCTATTTACCTGAATGTATGAAAATAAATGCCATAATTAGCATGACCACAACAATAATATTCATTTTTGTATGATGTTTGGTTTTCGATGTTTTGTGCACAAAAAAAACACTTCAAACCGTTTATATTTTTTGTAAAACTTTATTTTTGCAACTGAATAAATGTTACTTGAAATGAATCTCCTTGTTGCTTTTTAATAGTAAGAAATTCAATCACACGTCGAAAGAATCGAGATTTCGATTTGCCACTAATTTTGCATGTAAAATATTTCAACACAATTGGATGCCGAACAAGATATCAGACAGACAGAATAAGTGAAAACGAGAGTGAATCATGTTGATTATTGCATCGACCGTAGCCAAAACGAGTTTATCAGATATTTTTACCCATATAATAAAGAGCGAATGATGTTAACACAACAAACTTGTTATTGCCTTCGATAGGTAAATCAATGTCAATGAGTCAAAATCAAGAGTCTGATCATTCTATTAACCATCACAGTTCTTGTCAACTGCTTAGTGAATATCTGTATTGTGCATAGAGAGAGGGTAGGGGATTACCCTATTTACGTACAATTAAAACTAATTTTATTTAATTTTCAAGTGAATTATATTGAATATTTTATAAAATTGAACAATAATGGAAAATGGTAAAAACTAGTGATTAAAATATAATTTGCCTTGGAGCCATAAGTAATAAGTATCCATCCATGATTTTTTTTATCAGTACGAGCGCCATTTTATACCAAAAGCTGGGCAATCTTGTCATCAGCATAACTAAGCGCTGTATGTGACATTTTATTTTTGTGGTTGATATTCGCACCTTTTTCAAGGAGTAATTTGACGGTATTGTATTGTGCTTGATTCATTAAAAAAAAATCCAAATCAGTTTCATGTATTTAGTTTTGCAAAAATTACAGAACAAACAAGCTGCGATTAAAATAATGAAAGTTATTAAATTTTTCGATAGCTACATAAAAATGTCAAAACCGTTTCATACTCTTAGCAAATACAAATTACAAAGCCAAAAGTAATAAGAGTTAAATGGCATTTTACCATCTTTACAGAATCACTGTTACGATCAACTACTGGTACTTCGTGAATCACCCCTTGATTAAGCGCAAAACAAATATATATATGAAATTGACTTTCCTTGACCTTATCATTAATAAACGAGTTTTAAGAAGTTTTTGCTCAAATTATTTTGAGAGCAAAACACGTTCTACTTGTTCTTTTATGAAAAAAAGAAGATGTGTAATTTAAAAAAAAGCCCGACATGTCGCTATTTGTTGGCTGCCAGAGATTGGGAATTCCAATTTGGGACAATTTAACTAACAGTCGACTATGAGTATAAGTCTTATACTTAAGTTTTTTTTTGCTATTTATCCCAAAAACATCGGTTAGTCATTAATTCAGTCTGGAATATATGAGATAAATGCAAATAAGTGTGTCTGTAACTGACCTGGTATAATTCGCGAACTAACATTGTCCCCCATTCCTATGTTTGCTGTAATCCAATCAAAATAGTATGCAACTCTGGTGTACACTGACGGTAGCGTCGTTCCACAACTGATACCAAAGGACACAATGCCAATAATGGACGATGTATTTGAATTACTGCGAAACAGCGGTCCTCCGCTGTCTCCTTGACAGCTATCGTTTCTTGCATTCGGATCGAATGCACAATATTGACTTTCACTAATACCATTACGAAAAACGGGTAGAAAAATTCCCTTATCGCGGTTCCAATCTAATAGTGTTCGATTGCATTCGGACAATGGCATCGTTTTTAGTTGCGTTTTAAGCAGGTCATTCGATTTTTCAAACACTTGAATCGAAAACAGATGAAAACACTGCATAAGTTTCGTTAAATTTATGGAGTAAATTGAACGCACTTACATTCACTTCGACCCCATCCGCTTACGTATAAAGATACATCATTATCTTCGTCTAGTATATCCATTTCTAGAGTGGCTGGTTGAATTGCTGGTGTGAATCGAATAAGTTTTGAAACTTGAAGCAAAGCAATGTCATTAGTTTCAGTTTCACTCGTATAATTTGGATGCCTAATGATTGTCTAAAAAATTTAAAAATTAACAAAGAATGAAATGGAAATTGAAGTAATTGATAAATTGTTTAAAAACCTTTATCTGATAGTTGACCGCAGCTTCATCATCTAACTTTACCTAAATGAACATTTATGAAATTAATTTGAAGAAGAATGCGAATCGAATTTCATGAATAACATTTTGTTCACTAACTATTCCAAGGCGAGCAACCACTGGTTTACGCTGTTCTTTTGTACAATGTGCTGCAGTCAATAAAAATCGATTGGATACAATTGTTGCGCCGCAATCGAAGCTGATATTGTAGTTTAGATTTAAATAGCCTAAAGCAGCCATCCAGGGAAATTCACCCGGGGCGGCTAATGCACCGCCAAAATCACGACGAACCGTGAGCTTTCCATACGTTTCGCATGCTAAGTTTTTAAATATTTATATTCATTGCTTTTGTTTAACTATCAAATTGTATACCTTTCCGTATGTTGACAGTCTGTTTGGTGGTTGTTCGATCTTGAATAAACGAAATGCAATGTGAATTAACATTGAATTAAATCAAGACAACAAAAATATTTTACTTCTCTCATCAAGTAGATCACACGGTTCTTTCCACAATTTATTTTTAATGTGGAAATCGGCTTTATTTTCGATGAGTATATCCATAATCTTATCATATTCTGAAATGGTCAGATTTCATTTCAGAACCCATTCAAATTATTTAAAATTTTCAATAAAAAATATGGGTTCAATCCGAAATTCACCTCCGATTATACACACATGGTGCAATGGACTATTTCCATTCTTATCCTGAGCATTTATATGCGAACCTTGTTCAATCAGCAACTTAACCGTGTTCGTTTGACCTAGAAAAATAAATTCAATATCATGTGGTGTGAATTCAATTTATTTTTTTTTCACTTGCCCCCCATTACAGCCATCATTAAAGGAGTACGTTCGTCGTTGGATTTGTCGTGAATATCACCACCAAATTCAATTAATAACAGCACGACTTTATCAAAACCTACAAAAGACTGAATCTTTGAACAAAATCTGCTACCATGCAAATCGGCAATGATTACCATTAAACGAAGCCGCCATCAGCGGAGTTTCGCCTTCAAGATTTTTGGTGTTAACATCCGTATTGTTGTCAAATGCAATAAAAACTTTTATAATCTCGTCATAACCTGAATACAAAACGCTCATTAGATGTGAATTGATTTTATATCTATTCTCGATTGCTCGTTCTAACCGTAGAAAGCTGCCAAAAACGTACAAGTATTTCCATCACGATCTCTTTTGCTATGTATATCAGCCCCGTTTTTGAGTAAAACCTGGACCACATTCAAATGCCCTAAGAAGACAAACGAAATCATATTTTCAAGAGAGAAAAACATGTTATGCGATATAAAAAAAACCTTTAATTGTTGCAACATGCAATGCATTGCTAGATGTATCATTCGTTTTGATGTGAATATTTGCACCATGCTCAATGAGTAATCTTGTCATCTCAACATGCCCTATAACGATAAATCCATTTTAATGTCCATTCACAGATTTTTTTTTCTCAATTAAATAAAAATCACCAGAGGAAACGGCAAGAATCAACGGTGTTGTGCCCGTGACGGTTTGAACATTGATATTCGCGCCGTTTTCAAGTAAAAGGACCACAATATGTCCAAACCCTGCAGTTTCAGTTACAAACAAAAAAAATCCATTTTTTGGTCAGTTAAATATGGGTGCATTAAATACCATTGTGAAATTGTCGTATATGTGTTTGCAATGGGTCTAATTTCACATTTTGGATGAAAAGCAAATTGTATTTTATGTTAAACGTTACCCTTATGTGCAGCAAAGTGAACTGAAAAGCATAAACCCTTTGAATATAATTGATTTATTTAATTCGCGATTTAATAAATATTACCTGCCGACTTGCCAGTGACACTCTGTAAATGAATATTGGCGCCACGTTCAATTAGTAACTTCGCTATGTCGATGCGACCGTGAAATGCAGCATACATGATTGGCTAATTGATTAAAACGCATTTAATTCGACCATATTATCGTATAACCGAAAATCCATTGCCATCATAAACAAATACCGTAATTTTTTCATTATTTGAGCTATCAATGTTGGCTCCTAGATCTAGAAACTTTCTGACGAGATGCACAAAACCTAAATTTTAATTAATTTTTTTAATTATTGGGTTCATCAACTTTTAATTTTATAAACAAAATTACCGGCTGTTGCTGCAATCAAAACCTAAGTTTTAATGTAAATAAAATATTTTTTAAATGATTGAGTTCACTAACTTTTAATTTTACAAACAAAATTACCGGACTGTTGCCATAATTATTTTTAATGTGAATGTTGGCACCAAGTGGAAGGAGCCTATCAATAACTGTCCCTCTATCTGTGTGTCGAAGCAACAATAAACATTTATAGACCATTAATGCCTGTCCAATATATAATTCTAGTACTTCTCTGCGACATTCCCCGTGACAAAATTACATTATTGCCAAGATTACCTTGAAAAACCGCTTTTAAAAGGGATAATAAGAGATTTAGATTTTAAAAAAATTTAACACATTAAAAAATGTTTTTTTTTTTTTTTTTATTATTATAAATTTACCTTTGGCGAGAGGTGTGTTGCCATCCTTATCCTTTAAATTCGCAACAACAGCACCAGAGTCGATCATAATGTCTATAATTCCCGTAAGTTCTTTTTCGATGGCGATGTTTATCGGCACATCTCCATGCTTATCGATTTCATTTATATTTGCGCCATTTTCAATGAGAATTTTGGCTGCGGTCACATTTCCTTATGATATGAGTCATGAAACACAAATAAAATCCAAATGAATTTAACTCAAAAATGAACAATTTTTGAAACATTTTCTTGTCACTTACGCATACGAAGAGCTTCTTGTAATGCTCCTCTTTGAATTCGAACCGGTCTTGGAAAATAGGAAAATAATTTAAGATGATCAAATTTTATTTTCTCAAAAAGGATATGAAAGATAAGTTTTATTATAAATCTTTGATAAGGATTTTGAGTTTTAATTCATAAGAGATTCTCAAATTCTCTTCACTAACCGCTCTTGTTGTCGTGGAACTGAAATCAAAACGAATCATCGATATTTTTAAATTATTTTACAGTCTGAATAATAAACAGATCTTTTAATTAATTTAAAAAATAAATAAAAGTCGTTTAATTCACCTGCATGCGCAAAAGCAACAAATATAATCGTTACAATCAGAACAATGTTCTTCATTTTGGTTCATCTGAAAATGATATTTTGATTTCGAAGTTGAGAGAAATCTGAACTAAAAATCACGTTGAATAAAATTTCGTCCAAACACCGCGATACAAAAATGCAAACTAAAGCGATGAAAGAGAGCTACAATTAACATATCGCAAAATAAAATCAAAAGTTGTCAGACGAATAACTTGTTTATACAGTTACCTATGTAAAAAAATAATGGACCACATTGATTCGTATGAAGTTCTGTCATTTTTTCACCTTGACCTTAGCTCATTCAAGCAGTGATTGCACACAAAATTTATTGTTTCTATTCTCTTCTGCACGCTGATGCACCGCTAAAAACAAGTTTTACTAAAAGTATTTTACTCATTCAATTTGTACCACACATTATTAAAATATCGTTGGCATTTTTTTATAATCAGCTTTAAATCCTGTCAAATGCTTCAACTATTTATATCTCTGATTTTTGGTTCGAATATCGAATATTTTCATTAAAAATACGATATATGCATTTGAGACAAATTCCAAATGGTTTACATCTCATTCAAGATTTTATGATACCTATAAAAAGGTAGGTTTTACTACCCTACACCGGACAACACCGGAATATTGAAACCGAACTAAACTTAATCGGTAAAAACCATTTCGCTTACTGGGTAATAAGACGATTATAGAATTTCGAAAATTATGTGTAGATATTTAAGAATATATGTCGTTAAATCGTGAATATTTTTTACCATAGTTCGCTGCGTTTTTTCTTTCGAAATATAAAATGTTCGACTTAAAAAAAGCATTTTGAATAGCCCTTTTAATAAGGGGCCCTTTTAATAATAACGAAATTAGGTCCATCCGAAAAATGATATAAAAACTGCATTTGTGTAAAGCATAAACAAACAGCGAATGATTGAATATTTTTACATATCGAAAGACAAAATGTATTATCTCAAATAACATTATTAAATCTCAAAATTTTAGAGCTGCTCTGGAAAGGCAGAGAAGAGCTATTGTGGCAATGAGCGCGGGAAGTGAACAATTTCGGAAAGAAAAGTTAGAATTGGTTTTAATCTGTTGAAATTAAATTATAATGAAAGATTTTTCCCTTTTTCCATGCATTCTATTTTGTGATGGTCAATGTATGCCGAAAGATTGAAGTAACAAGCGTTGGTGTTTTTATTAAATAATATATAATCAAAGTCACAAAAAAAATCGAATATTTTTCAGTTCTGGTGCGAGTTTGAGTTCGAAAAAGTAATGAAGCGAAACAATGAATATCGAAAATAATGAAACAATGTAATAATTTAAAATTATAAACCTTTGAAAAACATTCTAACACATCATTCTTTCACGTCAAAAGTAAAATATGTCACAAGCTGAAAGTATATTTCTTTTTAAATGAAAAAGAGAGTGTTTTGAAAGATAATTTCTAACCACGAATTTACTTTCCGTTGCATACGTCCTCACCAGGGGATCCGAGGTGTCCGATTAATCCTTTACGGCCTCCAATATAGACCAAAAGTGTTCCAATCAACAATTCAATTCAATTTCTATGAATTTTAAGCATTGCTTTGGACCCGTTACTATGCGGCTCTTGAAAGTGTTAATAAGAGATACAAGTCGCCAGATCGATCGGTATAAATTTCAATACAGTAAATCATACATCGATGCCTGTTCAAGTACATAATCGGTAAAGGATGCCGAGAACACATTTTTTTTAAATTAATGCATATTTTGGGCCGCACAAAGTCGTAAAATATTTTACGACTTTGTGCGGTCCAAATGAAAAATATATGAAGATCTGTGAATGCCGCTTATGCGCGATCACAGATCTCATTAGTTTAAAATTCCGCCTCACCGATTTTAAATGAAAAATTAAAAATCGATGACCAGGTAACCAATTGACTTAAACAAGTCGCTCCAACCCAAACGGTTTTCAGTACTCCTTCAGTAACGTGAAGTAGAACATCGTCAGTGAAATAAGCAAATATTAAATCTGAACAAAATTGAACACTAAACAAAGAGATATTCAAGAAAACATTTGTTTTTTCAGTTTCACGGAAAATAAATATCTGAAAACGTAAATCTGATTTCTTCTATAGTTTAACAAAATAAAAATACGTGCACTTTTATATCAGCTGCATGACTGGAATGTTCTAGCCAAAAAAATATAAAATTAAAAACATCAATTCAAAATACCAAGTTATTTATTTAATATTCGCACGCAAAAAATCTGGATCTATTTATACACAATTAAACACAAATAACGCGTTGAACGCATCCGTTTGAGCTGTAAGTGTATACATATTTATCATCTTGAAAACCATATATGAACCGGCTAGAATTTTCGTGACCTTAAAATAAAGCTGCAACTTGCCCATTTTTTATATGAACATATTGCACTTTTACTTTGACATATTTCCTGAGCTCACGAATATTCTAACCGATTCATATCAAGGCTATGCAAATACATCTACACAATTGCTTATTAGTATAGCGTGTGCTTATGAACCATCGGCATAAAATGTTAGTGTGTTTGTGCCGAGAATACCAGCGATAAGCATTACTGCAAACATTTTATATCGATTTGTCAAACAACCGACGGCAGTTCTCTCAAACATTGTGCGCTTGTTTCCTTTTTGGACGTTCATGTGGTTTTAGACAGTTTACAACTCAACAGTTTGGATTAAATTGCGCATTGATTTCCAGAGAGAACATTTCTAATTTCAATCAACGTTTTCAGAGACACTAGCGGTATGTGACATTACTCTTCTTTTTTTTCGAATGGACATGAAAAATATTTTTTCAAAGAATATCATCATTGCTATATAAATTTTTCAATTTGATCATTCTCTCTTCAAACAGTATTGATTGTTGAAATTTAAAATCATCACGTTTTACACATTAAAATTCTCAAACTGCTTGTTTGGCAAAATCAAAATCGTTCACCAAACAATAAAAAAGCGAGATTTTTCAAAATTCAACGTAAATTTCGTCTTAGTTTCAATCCATTTCATTTCTTGGAAAACATATCATAGACAGCTATTGAGTTTCATTCTCGCCAAAAAAATAAACGTTGAATAAAAAGTGCAGTGTCTGCAGTTTTCTTGTCAAGGAATTCGTATATACAAATCGTATTCTATAGCAATAATATAGAAATAATATACAATACAATTTGTATATACGACCCAATCCCTGTTTTCTGTTTATTTATATCAATGTATACGAAATCAAGTGTAAGAGTGGCAAAAATACACTTGCGTTTGCATATTTAACCGTTTTTTTTTTTAAGTTGATCATACTGACTTCTTATACGTCGGTTCTCATTCGGTTTGTAATTGTTGAGTTGAAACCACGCGAGTTCTGGATGCTACTCGAATGACATTTCTGTGTCAAATAAAACATTAAAATATAGAGAGTTTTTTAGCTTTTTGTTTGTTCTACAGTAAAGTGGTTGCTAACAGTTTTTGTTCACTTTCAGTTTATAGTCAGTAGTTTTTATTTTTGTGCAAAAATTTGTAATTGAAATCAGTTGTCAGTGTTTTAATTAATGTTGTATGAATTAATTTCAGATGGCAAATGACAATTTATACACTTTGTGGTGCAAAGAGCCGGCGCCGAATGACAATCTGTTCGTTGAAATTTGTCCAATGCAAGACCGTGGATCGGTAAATTACGAAAAATTGATTAAAAATAATGTGACTGCAAACAAATTACGTAACAAAGGCAACGAATTGTTCGGTAAAAAGAAGTACCACGAAGCAATAGCCTGGTATAATGAAAGTATTTCGTACGCTGAAAATGGTTCCGAAGCATTGGCATTGGCATATGCGAATCGATCGACATGTTTCATGCATCTGAAACATTTTCCAGAATGTTTGATTGACATTGAACTGGCAAAGCAGGCTGAATATCCATCTGCGAAAATGTCAAAACTAAACACTCGTGAGCAAAATTGCAAGGAAAACATGAACCAATCAGTCAATGAATCATATATTCGTGAACCGCAATTGGACTTTAATGAAAACGAAAGTCATCCTGGTGTTGCTGATTGCTTAAAAATTGTAAAGAACTCAAAATTTGGTCGGCATGTCGTCACTACAAGAGATTTGACAATTGGTCAAACTGTTTTGATTGAAAAACCATTCGCTTTCACGCATGAACCAATGGAACCAGATCATTCGCAAATGCATGACCCTTTTGTTGATAAATCACGTATCATAGAGCACAACCGATCTGGTAAAAATACATTTGCACGATGCATGTATTGTTATGCAGAATGTAACAATTTGATTCCATGTAAAAATTGTGCTGGCGCTTTGTTTTGCAATGACGTTTGCATGGAAAAGGCCTATCATAAATACGATTGCGGAATGCCTGACAATTGGACGAAAAAAGAAACATTTGGGTTGGTGTTAAGAATGCTGTACCACGCAAATGATGCATTTCCATGTGTAAATGACCTAATGCAGACGGTCAAATTACTGCTAGCTGGTAACAGTGTGAGCGGACACCAAAACGATGATCAAAAAAATTTCAGCCTGATTTTTCAGCTACCTACCCATTCCGGTAATCAATGGACCCGAAAATTGAAACTTGCCCGAAGTGCCACAAAACTTGCCTTTGATAAAGTCATGCGTTTACCAGATTTCAATGGAAAATTTACATCTTTGGAACATCGTCGTTTCTTGCAACACTTGATTCTTCATTTTTTTCACGTTGCTGAGCATGCAATAAACGCAAGCGAATACTGGCAAGAAGTACACGATCAACATTTGGGATCGTTTGCCCTACGTACATTCGGCAATGGAATGTATGCTTTCGGATGCTACATTAACCATTCTTGTATTCCGAATGTTTGCTGGTATTTTGTTGATCATCGCCTGATTTGTAGAGTGATTCGACCCATCAAAAAAGGTCAACAGCTCTTCGGTTTCTATTTGTAAGTTATTTTGATGCGTTTATTTTGATTTCATTCTTTGATGGTTTTTTCTGTTTTTTTTTTTTTTGTTCAAGTCCGGGCGCCACTCTGTACGAGTTCATTCCACATCAAAATCGTGGATTATTCCTAGAATATCATTACTTTTTCAAGTGTAGCTGCGTTATTTCTTCGAATTCAAATTGGTCACCATTTTCTGGAAACGATTTCAGCGAAAATCCATTGTACGTAAGAGCTATCGAACCGACTTGGATGGATTTGGAAGAAATTCGTACGCTCCAGCCGGAACAAATTGCATCCTATGAACGAGATGCAGCCAGATTTTTGGAAACTCATGATCACTTCCACCCCGTTCAAGACACAATGATGATGCAACACAATTTGCATATGCTCTGGAACACTTTCGCTTCTCGACGCTAATATGATATTAGCCATTCAACTTCAATGCATTTTGCAGCAAAAACAAATTTGACTTTTATTTTTTTCAGACAAGGTCCACTAATATTTTCATATAATTCAGACAATTTACATTAAAGTTAATTTTTTTTTCTTTATTAGTAAAATAGAAATGAGAAATATCATTGAGATGGTAAATAATTTTAAGAAATTTTTTCAAAAACAAAGTTATGGATTATTAGTTATTGTCCTATCATTTTATAATTTTGCAAAATATGAACAGAAATTCAATATAACAAAGTTAAAGTAAAATAATGAATTGAAAACGAAATGAAACACAATTTAAAATGTTATAAGTTCTATCGCCAATAAAGACATTTATTACATGTGTAACGTCGGTTCAAAAATTCATTGTTTAAATGGAGATATTTTTAGCTTAACATTTGCATACAATTTCCGCCGATATGTTTTTAGTATCTTTTGATTCATGAGTGATAGTGAAATAATATTGAAGAAAATTTTACAGAATCATATTGATTTCATCCTGAAATATTGAACTATTATTCAGATAAATGAAGCTTTCGTATTCTCTTAACGTTGATTTTATTCATCACAAAATCACTTTCAATAAACATTGATGCGGCATCGTTTTCCAGATTTTGTATGAATTTCTTGCACTGTCGCCAGACTTGTCGATATATTTGTAGAATTTTAAATGACAATTTTATGCCAATGAAAAACGAGAATAAGCTGCTTAAAAATATGATAATCACAGCCAATTTAAATTGTTTCAAAACAATCCACGGAGAAATCGATCTGTTGTCATTGTTCAAATATAAGATCTTCAAACACGGTGAAATGTTTAAAGTGATGCTCTTATCACCGAAATATGTACAATTGTCATTGTTGATTTTTTCGTTTCGTGCCGAATATTGATTAAAATCGAGAATCTTCTGTAATTCATTTTTATTCCATGCCACGTTTACGTTTGGAATAAACGAATTCGATGGAAACGTATACAAATGCAAATGGCGTAGTATCAATATCCTTAAGAAAAATAAACCATTAAATGTATTTCGTTTGAAATGTTTGATGGGCAAGCCATCCAATTCAAGATAGTAAAGTCGTTTGAATGCTTTTGAATTAAATGCATTCGATTCAATTGATGCAATGTTGCCATTTCGAATGTAAAGTCTTTTTATGTGATGCTTTACTGATGCTGGTACTTTGTACCAATCAGCTGGAAGCATTTCATTTTGCGCATTTAAATTCACAAAATGTAATGCAATCGGATGCGTCTTCATAAACTGAAAGATAAATGTTTTCCATTGGAATGCCATAAAAAAAAACAGCACTGAATATCATAAAAAAAGAGACTCAAACATACCGTTTTATATGGTTCAATCGAAATCAAAAGTTGAATGTAATCCAAATGCATATTATTGCAGTAAAAAATCAGTTTTCTGTTATCGTTTGCCATTGAACATTCCGTTTGCTTGCTAAAAGTTTTACACAAAGTAAAAGAAAGAAAGCAAATGAAAACTTCAAAAATAAATTAGGCCAAATGTTACAAGTCAAACCGTTCTTCGTTTGGTACGAGTGCCGAGAAAAACGACATAGAATTTATGCGAAATGTTAAAACCGAGAAAAACCAAAGGAGCCTCATTTGATGCATTACGTACGACTTTCGATCCAACAAAAGCAATCGGATCAACTAAACAGTTTGATTAATGAGGTCAGAAATGCCTTTGGGATTTCGGCTCATTTAGTTTTATCGAATTGTGAATAGAAATCAATTAACTGATAACGTGCAAATAGAAAACTCGATTTGCTTATCATATTGCTGTGCCAAATGAAGCGCACAATACATGCATGCGTGAAATTGATTTGAAAAAAAAAATATGAAAACGTCAAAGAAAACCCAATGACATACATGTTAGACATCGCGTATACACAGTGTATCTCAATCAACCAGTTATATTCTATTTGCGTTCAACAAGTCAACCGAGGAACGTAGAAAAATGTGCGTCATGTTTGTTATTTTTTTTTATTTCAATCTTTCTTTCGCTCAATTTCACCGCGGTGACATGCTATGCCAATTGACTATCTTGTAATTTCCTGGTTCCAAAGTGTTAATCAACACGACTTATTAACCGATCGACTACATGCTTGGAAATTATTCAATTTTCTTTCTTTATGAAATATATACTATAGTGCTTTTCAAACACACACACTAACCACAGGCTACAAAGTGATTTGAAATTGTTTCGACGTAACATAAAAAAATGCAGTAAATAACACATTGTGGCTTTTGTCGCAGTAGAGAATTCATACATAATGATAACAAAATGTTTTTTAATTTTTGTATGGTTGTCGTCGGTGAGGTTCATGATTTTTTTCTTTCAAACGGCTGCCGTAATATTACGTGCGCATCAACTGACACATTGGCCGCATATTCATTATGTAGTTTGTAATTAATAAGCGAAAAAAAAATTGAAAAAAATAATTAGATTGGCTTAACCTCGCATCGCCACCAAAAGTGAATAAGCTCTCTCGTAACAGGCCACATGGAAAAGAAGCTTAAAAACACATGCACACACTTGAAGATAAAACTGGCGCTCGGGCAAATACTCACCTCGGAAATACGATATGATAATCATGATGTGGAATTTTTACGAACACTGTTTCGATCATGGGTCCGGGTGTATTCGCGCAATCAAAGCATAAACATAGTACAACAATAATTTCATAGTACATGTGTCAAAAGGTCACGTATCATGTTAATGCCTTCCTCAATGAAAATTACAACATGTTTTTTATGTGCCAGGTGATTGTGTCAAACTTGATTCCATAATGCACAGAAAATTTGATGGATTGAATATTTGTTGTTGTCAACGAAATGCATTGGGAAAATATAGCGGCGAAAGTAAATGCTCATTTCCTAAATAAATTACCAAAACCATGACCAAATCACCAATTTGATTTGAAACCCCAAACCGAACCACTGCACATCAATGTGTTGCATCAAATTATAAAATAATTCACTTTCATGTCAGCTTCAAATGAATATATATACGAGCTAAAACAAGGCAATACCATTTCATTCAAACCAAATGAAGACCCGGATTTCATACATGAAAAAAATCAGCAAACTTTGTGAATTCACTTTTCAAGCGAATTTCCAATCCCAATATAGTGGCTCGAAACAGTTTTTTTTTTTTTTTTTTTTTTTTAAAAACAAGAACATGGGTGAAACCATGAAAATGAAATTGCTCTGATAAAATATTGGTTTTCTTTTTTTTTTTCACAGTGTTCTTCTCTAAGCATTCGTGCAATTTGCACAAATTACAGTTTCTACTTGAGAAAAACCTTCATTTAACCATTGGCAATGTGTTGTGAGCGCTAATTCAAGCGCGGACAGTTTTTATCTATATAATTAACGTACATTAATTACATTTATTCAATGGAAGTTTCGATTTCCATCTGAATGCAGAAACAAATGTTTTCCGCCATTCATGCACATATTCGGACGGAATGCAGTGTAGCGGTAGCAAAGAAAAAGCGAATTCTTTGCATTGGTACCTGCATGTATTTTCTTAAAGCAACAACAACAACGACGCCAAATAAATATGATGAGAAAGAAAACACAACGAAACAAACCACTGACTTAGATTCCGTACAATTTTCGCATGGCACAATTCCAATGCTTGACCATTGTGTGCACAAGGTCGCAATAGACATTTCCCACATTTATGCTCCGATTTAAAGTCAATTTTCAACTCAATTTTGTAAAGATATTGCTGCTGCTGCAAACTATTTGTAACCTTAGCGCTGAATGTGATTTGATTTCTATTTTATTCCAATTTAATGATGATGATACGTTGATCGGTTACTACGACATTCAATATCCATGTCGAAATTCGGAAAACCTAATTATATGTATACATACATTTTCCATCGGTTGGCCAATATGAATATTTTTTTGTTCATGATTACAGCTTTATTTACGCAATAAATATATACGCATTTAATCATACCGTTTTCACGTGTGCTTAGTTTTGTTTGCCATTTATATTGATTATATGCTTTGGCTTTGGTTATTATGCGGGTAATTTGGAAAACATTATTCAATAAAGCGAAAAATTTAGTATCAGCATTAAATGTCACTTTCACTCTATGTTGTGACGCTTGTTCATGCGATTTATCGAATTTACTTTGGCAGTTTTTCTCTTTCAAACAATTATTCTTTTATGCGGTTTTCCGGTATCGTACATTTTGATTAGATCGACGCTAACAAAAGGCCATGTTTTTATGTTTTCAAAGAATCGAGAAATCAATAAAAACTCAATTGAAAATATAAAAGTCTATGTTCAAATACGCATAGATTTGAATAAAAGAAGTATTTTTCGCAAAACTGCTAGTACTAAATTATTTATTTTGGGTTAATCAACGTCCAAAGAAAAAAGCATGAAAATTATATATTTATACAGATGTATCAATTGAATTTACATTTAAAGTTTTATACTTGAATTAATTACAAACAATTTACCATATTCACCAATGTGTAGATTCGGTAGAATTCTAGACCAACATGCCATACATTTTGGGAACACGAGCCGAGAAGTTTTACTATATACATTGAATGCAATTGAATAATCTCAATTTTTCACCAATTTAATATACACTTTTTTTGTGAGAGATTTTTGGACCTATATGTATATTATTATATCATTTGAATATTAAATTATATATAATATTACCATGTAAAGCCCGAAGATGCTTTTTGAAATCTGAAAACAAGTATAAATATCAAAGAAATGGACTCAAAGTTAATATTTTAAAGTTCCAGTGTACCTGTGTAAATGTGCCCAAATCGATTTTGATGTGGCGCAAACCATGGTATCGATGAATGGAATGTTGGGCATCTCGAATCATCAACATAATTATTTTCTGATTTTTCATCGGTAATTTATTCCAATTTGATAGATAAAGTAAATCTGCTATGCTTGCGTAATAGTCACTTGCTTTGAAGGCCACGTAACAATAAACAAGTAAATTTGAGGACCCATTAATTACTGCTATGATCTGTGTTCCGATAGTTTACAGCCTTAAGGAATTGAATTCAAAGGAAAATTAACTCAAGCCGAAAGTAAATAGCTGAAGTAATTCACTAAACATAGAGCATATTCAAGCTTAGACGCACAAAAAACGTTTTTGGTGCAAGACATAGTCGTTCTTGTGAAATGTTCGCATGGAAAATGTTCTTTCGCTAAATTCATTAAAAAAAAATATGATTTTTTCCAAACCTGCAAAAACATTCATACTACCCGCATGTACAGAAGTTAAAAATTAATTTTAAGAAGACTCACCATGTGCATTTGAAATATGGCACTTGTCAAATATATTACATCAAAAACCACTTGAAGAAAAATAAACGGCGAATAGAAGATAGAACTGAATACTTTGTTTCAAAAATCTAAAAATGAAAACACACAAAAAACAACATACAAACATGTATCGAAATTCGAAAACGTAAATAATCATACTCCTTTCCTTTGGTGTTATTTCGAATAATTTCACATAAGAGTGCCTTAACTTTCAATTCGTTCGATGGTATTTGTTCATCATCAGTTAGTTCATCCAGTTTGCGCAATATATTTTTGAATTTAAATAGAACGCTTCGTGGAATGAGCAAATTGATGTGAAGAATGAAAGGAAAATACCGTTTATAAAGAAATAGATTGGACTTGCAAACACTACAAATATTATCATTCCAATCCATCCAATAACGGAATTCTGATTCCAGGGGAGACTAGAAAAAAATAATTGATTAAAACTTAATTTTTTCTACAGATAAAGATTGATATGCACAAACTCAAATCTTCCTGGATAAAATAAATGTTCAGTGTTGACGTATTCATCATTGAAGAAACAGTAAAGAACATTTAAAACAGTAATCACTTCAATATAAAGGGAAAATCCCAAATGTATATAGCAGAGAGTTCATTTCGTTTTCCATTCATTTTTCTCATTAATTTAGGTCAATAATTCTTTCATGTCCTCAGATGCATCTGAGGAAATACATTGAATTTTCATCAATTTGAAATCAACAAAGATGATTTTTATCTGCTTTTTTTTTAATACCAACCATCATAAATTCTTTGAATTTCTGTCTAGCAATTTCTGTAGTTTATCGCGAAGAAGTTGTGCAACAATAATATTATAAAGTGCACACCCAAAGCCTATTATTTGTGCAATTGGATAAATGGAAAATCCACAGTCATCACCATATTTATTAACGGCATTTTTGCGTATAAAAAGAAAACTTGATATCACTGCCAAACTTAATGCTATGAAAATATAAACATAAAATACGATAGAAATGCAATTGGCTTTGCGACTAGTTTTCGAGTTTGACGGAAATATGCGAAGCCAAGTGAAAAAGTACTGATGCGTGTCCAACAGTTTCATTTTTTTTTTTGTGGAATGGAACGAATTTTCACCCACTTGAAACGATTAACTCAGAAAAGTTTTAAAAATTTATGTTTTTCGTTCTCGAATAAAGTTTTTCGCTCTCAGAGTTTTACAGTAATGTTATCGCAATGAAATACTTTTTGATAGTAATTTTCTTCATAAATAAGACATCAAATTTATGGACACCATTTTGACAAACATTTGTTTATTATCCTTGAAAAAGTGAGACTGTTTCAAAAGATCTGTGAAATGTAAGGACGATAATGTATTTTGAATGGGGTCAAGTGAATATTTAAACGAATAATACGGTAATGTTTCCGCTTTTTAACACACGATAGCTTGAGCAAAATATGATGTAAACGTGATTCGGAATCAATTTCAAGGTCAACAAAGAAGGACATTTCATTCCTTTTCGATACATTGCCATACATTAAAGACACGTTTTCTTATCTCAGTTAAGACAGAACGAAATAGAAATAAATTGCAGGTTATATGGTGACCTATTTCTGAAATGGCCAAGGGCTTTATTTCTTTTGGCCTGAGACCCGGATGCCTGCCCGACCGTAAAAATCGGTCGACGTTCGGATTGAGAACTCTGATATTTATCAAAATAAATGTGAGCAATACATTTCCAAAAATATTTTCTGAACAAATTTTCATTCATCGTTTTTTATTTCACTTCAATCAACTGATTGTTTTTACTACCAAAAGTCATTTGCATTAAAACAACCATTTAATTTAAACTCTACGATTTGTGGAAATTAATTAATAGACCTATCGTTATTTCGATTCAAGCTGTTTTTTTTTTATTGTAGATTGAATCTCTTGATTTGTAGCAATAATATGAAGTGAAATGCTTACTTTTTTTCAATTGGTCGTAAATTTCATTAAATGTTTTTTTTAAAGAAAAAAATATGAATTATTTTATTTTGTCTGTCTCGCAGGCGCAACATTCATAGATGGTGAATTGGTGTTCCTTATAAAATGGAAAAAATCTGAGAAAACTGATTTGGTAAAATCGACATTGGCCCGTGAAAAATGGCCGCAAGTTGTCATCGATTTCTATGAAGAACGATTACACTTTGGACCTCCAGACGCCAAAAGCGATGACGATATGGATGAGGAAATTGGTGAAGCTGATGACGCCAATGATGATTCGGATAGTGATGATAATGCAGGAACCTGAAAACGCTTAATAAATACATCTTCGTCCAATCGTTATAATTTTTTTTCATCGAAAATATTCCAGCCATATTTTGGCCCATTTAGTGCTTATATACGTATTCATAGAAATTGTGCAGATGTATATGCCCATTTCGTGGAAAAATGCACATGCCCGATTTTGGGCATTGTCATTTAAACAACAGTTAAACTGATAATTGAAAAATATTTAAAACAAAATAGATGAATTGAAAACATAAATGAAATTATTTATAATAATTAAAAATAATTATTTATCTCTTTCAAAACTGCTTGATGTAAGAATTTAATTATATTGTTTATTTAAATTATTTTGTATGCACACATAGACATGCTATATGCGTGATCATCAAGTTTTAAGGTTATATGAATGTAAAATACACCAAAATATCACAACAAATCAACTACTTTTTATTGATCCTTTCGATATTTAAATATTACCTTGTATTAATCTGAAACTTTCAAATATTGAAAATATGGTATCTTTCACAAATTTCATTTCAGATCCGGTGTCATTTGATGAAAAAGTTATTACTTTGGCTTATTTAATTAAATCTGTGCATTCACAACAATGTTATGTTGGTCTTAAACTTTGACACTTGTTCAAAATGATCAGCACGGAGTTAGGTTGGTATTACAAAAATATATTCGACTCAATGATGCATACAAACAGTATGCTTATGTGCAAAACTTCGACAGTAAATAATGTTCGTATTTAATTAGATAAATTGTGATTGAATATGTGATTTTTAATGCAAGAAGATAATATATCCATTGAAATAGACATGAGGAGTGTGGTTAATGTAAAATTGGAAGAAAATTCAGCCATAGATTCAATTGCTGTGTGACTATAGCAAAGCAATATGCAATGCATATAATGTCCGAAAAACATTCAAGATGTAAAAATTGACTTGGTGTCACCGGGTGTCACCATCACTTGCAACAAGGTCATTTGTTATATTCAATTCATTTCATTCAGGCAGTCAGCCAGCCGGTCTCAGTCTATGAACAGATAGAAAAACAGATAAGCCATACGATTAACGGACAAGAGGCAAAGACATAAATAGTCATTTATGCTAATTAAAAACTGTTATTCCTTCTTTCCTTTTTCACTGGTGTCGAGACTTCAATGCAGATGCATTTAGCATATATTTCATATTTAATATTTTCGTTTCATACAAAATCGACTGACATTTTACCCAACATATTTTTCTGTTTCTTTATTTCGATAGAGAAACAGGGAGACTGAGAGCGAAAGAGATGGCTTAGACGCAAAGCAACGCAAAGTATTAACCACTGTTCATGCTAATTGGAAAAAGTAAATTCTTAATTGTACTGTCATCGTAACTGCCGTCTCATCGAGCATCTTCAACGAATCCATTTGAATAGAGCAATAAAACCGAACGAAGTTTCATAACATTGTTATGAGATTCTTTAGTTTGAGTGTGCACTGTGCATGCACAAAAGAATCACATTCAGTTGAATTGCGATTCCATTGTGTTCAACTCTTAAATCGGCAAACATTGAAGTACTACAGGAAAAAAATGTGCACGAAACCACTTGAATGGGATGTATAATAGTCAGAACTTGAACATAATAACATCTTTAATTTATGACTTTCCATTGTGAAATTTATATAGCGAAAATCGTTACAGTTTAATGAGATTGTCATGGTACGCACTGCATCGCAGCAGGTGTCATGTGTTCTATTTGAACGAATTTAATTGGAATGCTCAAATAATTGCTTTTGTTGCGTTTTAATTGCAGTTCCGATATGTTTTGTGATGTTGTTATTTTGTTTCGTTGTTTGTTCTTTTAAAAATCTCCCATTGCGATTCTATGATTGAAAAATGCATGTTTTCTATGGCCATTTCTCTCAGTCATATTATTAGTTGTGCCGCAGAAATTCTGCATATAAATTGTGTTTCGCCTGCAGAACTATAGTGAGAATGAGAGAAGTAAAAGTCTTGTATTCTTCACTGTCATTGGCATAATTGGAAATATGTACGATTTTCATTTGTCGACTTGGCAATGAAAACCATATTTGGTCGTAGTCATTAGAGGCAGTGTTCGATTTGCATTTCACAGCATGCTAACAGTAAAATTGTACTTTATTTCACATATGTTAGACGAGACTCCCATCTCATGCATGGAAAATCAATCGAATTGCTTTGATTTTTGCCGTACAACAACATGAGATTCATGTCATTTTTACATATGTTTTGCAAACTTTGTGTTTTTGTTAGCATAGCTGATTGCAATTTTAACTAGAATTCTACAATTAATACATGGAAAATCAATCGAATAATGATATCTGTAGGAGACATTTTGTTCGCATATTTGCTTTCGCTTTGTATGTTGCCTCCATCGAGCTGAGTTGTCCCCGATGAAAATGTTCTAATGATCTGAATGTTTTGTTTATGCAACAGTTCTGTTGTGTGACTCAAATTCCAGGGGACTGAGCCAAGTAAATAAACTTTTATTAAAGAATTATTTAAAAAAATAGTTGGCAATTGCCAGAATATTCGTAATGTCGCTGTTGACTATTTTCCATTTAAACGATTGCACTTTGACTGAATCCACCAGTTAATAATGAATTTTACAAAAAATAATATGTTATTGACATAATATAATAAAAATAATTGGAGTCAAACCAATGATTCAAATATTGATCGTAATATTTCATAAAAATGATTATGTCAAATATTGAGTATAAAATAAAAATTTCATCTGAAATATAATATTAAATTTGAAACAAATGTGTCATTGAAGAATGATATCGCTCTAAAACATTACGTCAAATACCAAATATTTATTGTGAAAAGCAAATGAGTGAGCATTACGAGGCAACCTTTTTAGATATTGTTGAAATTTGCTATAAAAAAGGGCACGAATCCAGCGATCAATCATTAATTATTATTGAACTAACGTGAAACGGTTCCTTCGACTAAACAAATGAAGTTGCTTTTATTTTTGGCATTTTCATTGCTTGCAATTCATCCAGGTAATATACAATTATGAAAAATATTTTATTTTAAATAAATAATTTCTGAATGTATTTCATTAAAATTGATTTTCATCTTTCCATTCAGGTTCAGTCAGGCCGACATTGGCTTGAAACCCGCCTTGCGTACACTGACAACTGAATTTGACACAAAAGCTAAAAAAATTGATTCTTTCATCGCTTGAAAAGTCAAATTAAATGAGGTTCTTTCACTCCCAACTCTCGAAATTTTAAATGCTTTAACAAAAACGAATGTTGATTGGATGGATCAATTGACCGGTGCATTCATAAATTCAGATATATTGAAGAACAGTTTTCCAGCTGGTGAAAGTAGTAAATCAACCAAATCAGTAGATAAAGAAATTAAATCATTTAATGATAATCATGAAAAAATTTGCAATACTATTGGTAGACTATTGTTGGAAACAGTTGAGCCGTCTTTTGAAAAAATCAATGGATTCGAAGACGCGTTCTAGAGACGTATACATGAATAAATTGAATTCATTAAATAATCCTACGTCAAAACACACAGGCTCACTTTCTAAGGCGTTCACAAGGCAAATTTGCGGGTGCGGTCAACAAACTATTTGAAAATTTAAATACATTTGCTTCTCAAGCGGTTAAGTGTGCAGCGTTCTTATTAAAAGCGAAAGATCTAAGCCTCGACTCAAAATATAAGCTTTCAAAGGAAGAATTACAAAAAACAGAACAAGCGTTTGAAGAAGTTTGTGGAGAAAGTATTGTATTGGATTTTTGAATGAAACCAAGTAGACCAAGTTAATCCAATTAGCTGTTTTTGCTTCGATAAAATTAACACTTAAGTTTCATTATAAAAATTCAAATGTAATGGATCACAATAAAAACAAATGCAGATAAAATTGATTCTATGATCTTCTCATTTGAAAATGTATTGGAATTTATAGAACTTAGCTCAAACGAGAATTAATAAATAAATGTCCATATATAAAGATCCAAACTGGAACAAAAATTAAATGGATGAATAGACTTTCGCATATATGTCATGCCTCAATCTATTAAGATATTTTCAATCAGCTTACATGAATTTATTTACTTGTATCAATATTTAGCTATCAAGACGTTTTAAATTATTTAAATTTAATTCCATCCAATAAAAATGACGGGTGCTCAAAAATGAGATGTAAATAAAGAGTCTTACATCCGTAA